TTTTTTTTTTTGCGTTTTAATCATCTGTGTTTCAAATTTTCTTTCGAAAACACAACCTGATTAAAATTTCATTTATTTTTTTTAAAATTATTTTCAATTCTATCTTTAATCTATTTTTTTCCTTAAAATTTTAATAAAATAAAATTAAAATAAATAAAATTACTTATTAAAATATTTTTTAAAATAAAAAAATTATCCTAAACTAATTTTCAGGTCCGAGTATTACACAGTATTCAACATATATTATTATATTTTGTTTTAATTCTATATTTTGAACCTCATGTTTATCGTAAATATTATAATAATATATTCAAAGGATTGATTGTTTAATTATTTTGTAATATGTGTTGTTCAATGACTAATTTTCTGAGCTAATTAGTAAATAATATCTATAACTCATTTGTGGAGGATAAATCATTGCATTCGAACAAATAAAAAATTAAAAATTAAAAATTAAATTATAATAAAAAAATATTTAAAAACTAAATTGGAACGGGTATCAAATTTTAAAGATTAAGTTCGTAATTTATTTTGTTAAATAACATATTAATTTTAAATATAGTTATTTAATTTCTAAGATAAAATATGAGTAATTTATAATAAATATTAAGTTAATATATTTTTTAATTTAAAATCATTCTTGATAAATTAATAAAATATACTCGTGAAAAATATTGTTATTATTTTTACTAAGACGTGTGATATCTCGGGTATTTATTTATAATTTTGTTATGTTAAGTGAATACTTTCTTATTTTCAACAGAAGACAAGACTGGGCGAAACCTTGGCTTCTCCAGTTCAAATGCTTAACACACACAACTCCTGTTACTGCAACTTGAGACACAAGTATGTCCAGGTGATGACTTGAAGTCTCTACTACCTCTTCTTGAGGTTCGGAATTCTCTGGTTTCAGTAACACAGTCTCAGCCATGAGCCATGGATACAACACTTCACCCATTTTCTTATACCAAACCCACAAATTCTTCCCATCTCATATCAATCAAGTTGCTCTCCCTCATTTTCATCTCAAGCTCTTGCCATGGTTCCACCCCAAAAGCCTCCTTAAACCCCATAAATCTGGTTTCCCCATTTACCCATCATGCTCCGTCAAAAATTCCTTCATCTGGACTGCTACTGAGATTGCAGAGGCTGTCCAAGGCAGAATATTGAGATGGGGACCTCCTGGTTCCGTTTGTACAGACACCAGAAATCTAGAATCAACCCAATGGTTCTTCGCCATTAAGGGCGAAAAGTTTGACGCTCACCAGTTCGTAACCCCTGAATTGTCCCAAAGAGGATGTGTCGGAGTGATTGGAAATCGAGTTTGCAAGAATTGGGACAAGGGTTTTGTTCAGATTAATGGTGACACTCTGGTTTCTTTGATCAATATGGCAAATTATGCGAGGGAGAAGTTTCTTGGTACACTAATAGGGGTTACCGGCTGTACGGGGAAAACTACTACAAAAGCCATGATTGCATTATGTCTTGAGGGTTTAGACGAGGTTTATCAAAGTCATGGAAATTGGAATAATAGAATTGGGGTTGCTTTGTCATTGATCGGGCTTCCTAGGAGCACAAGAGTTGCAATCCTAGAGATGGGAATGAGTAGAAAGGGGGAGATTTTGGAGTTGGCAAAGATGGGTAGGCCCAACGTAAGGGTTATTTTGAACGTTGGTGCTTCACATTTAGAGAATTTTGGCAGCTTGGAGGAAGTAGCAATGGCCAAAGGTGAGATTTTAGAGGAAGCAATGCCTGGGGATGTTGTAGTTTTGAATGCTGATGATCCTCTTGTAATGGGCCTTCATGTCCCCCGTGGAGTCAAGAAGTAACTGGGTTATTTCTTTTA